GGGAGGAAGGAGAATTAGGGGCGCCCCCTTGGGAAGGGGGGAGGGCTCGGGAGGAGGGGGAGCCCCCTTCCTTTGCTCCAGGGTTCCCCCCAGTTGGGAAGGGCTGGGTCCCATGGAGCTACGGGGGGGGGTCTGGAAGTCATCTCGTCCAACCCCCCCCTCGCCGGGGATCAGGAGATAAAGGGACCCCTCTCCCTCTTTGTTCCCCATCTCTTCTCCTCCCTCGCAGGGCTGGTGTTCCACCTTCGGGTGTGGGTGGGGTTGGTACACTCTGGTGGTACTAGAGCTTCCACATTCAGGAGAAGTCTATCACTGTATGCCAGCTTGTGGGAAAGATGAAACAGGACCCTTCTGGCTTCCCTCAACTAGATGCAGGGAACAGAGATCCCTGCGGGGTGTGCGTGCATGCTGGATTACAGTTCCCATTGTCCCCCCAGCTCTGTGAGATAGAATCAGTAGTTGGCCCATGTTGCAGGGTGAGTTCCTGGGTGAGTGCAGGATTTGAACCTGGGCCTGTGGAATCCTTTAAAAACGACAGCAGCACCCACAGGAAATGGTTTCTTCTACTACAGCCTACTGAGGATGGGCTGCTCCATTTTATTAACCCTGTGTAGAGAAAGCTCAGCCCCCTTTGCTTTTGGACTACAAATCCCAGATTCCCCAGCATTCGACCCTCACCTCCAAAGAAGAATTTTCCCGGGTTCTTTCAATGCAAACCTGTCCAAAGGTGCGTGAGTGCTCATTGGTGGTTTGGTAGCATTCAAATCCAGAACCGGGGACAGGCTGGGGTTGCCCCTCCCGACCATCCCCCCCACCAGATAATCAATTCAGATCAAGTCCTGGGTCTGAGCAAGGTCTTAATGGGGAGTTTTAGCCGTGGGGCAGTGGGCAAGCCAGCACACATCTGGCACCATCTGTATTTTATGGCCCTGCCTGGCTGGCTGGCTGAATTCTCCCCTGTTCAATCCCCGAGGAAAGCAGTACCGTATAATGGGTAGAGCACACAGTGCTGCTGCTGTTGTTTTTATTGCGTGATATTCCTGCAAAACCAACTAACCGCACAACTGTTCCTCCTGCCCTCTCCTGTGGCAAAATCTGAGCGCCACACCACACCGTGAAGAGCCAGGATGCATAAATACCAAGGGACGGATCGAGACGCTTCCTTTCCTGGGCTCCTGGAGGTGGCTTCCATCGCGTCTCCTCTCGCTCGCTCGCTTGCTCACTTTGGAGAAAGAGGGGAATAAATAAACTGAAGTGTAATTGCTTTGCATTAACCCAATTTAATTTAATTTAATGGATTTATTTTCTGTTCTTAACCAGTTCCAGTGTGGCTTCTTTTTCTTTTTTCTTTTGCATTTTGATGAACGCTGAGCCAGGATCAACTGTGGATGGATCCTTTTTTGTTTGTTTGTTTGTTTCTGTGTGTGTCTGTGGATTATGCTTTAATAATTGCCTTTAATTCAATTGGGGTTCTGTCATGTGGTTTGTCCAAACGTGTTGGAATATAGAGATGTCTGTTCTCACGAACAGTCGGAGTGGTCGCCCTCTTGTCTACTTTGGTCCCCCACTTTCCAGGCAGGACAGAACTCAGCCTGTCGATCGGATTAAATAAATATGTTTTCAATAGATTTGTAATCATGTGGAGGAGATTCCTCCCCGTAAGGAATGGAGAAGCGAGATCCGGTTATGATGAGTTTGTCCTTTCTTTGGGGGGGGCGGTTGCCGTGGTCGTCCTTGCCTCGTGGTAAACAGCCCTGCGAGGGAGGACGAACTGAGATTAAAAGCACCAAAGCGAGGCTGTGAGTTCGGGGGCGGGCGCCTTGGAGACACCTGTGATCCGTTTCTGTATTGGGACCCCTGAGAAATTCAACACGGTCTTCAGACACAGCCCACACCTCATTTCTCCAAATTTCGGGGTGGGCTCTTTGGCCGAAAGGAGTCAGCCGGCTCTCCTCCCACCCTCTCCTTCCTCTTCCTTTCCTCATTTCCTGTCTGGATGCCAAATGCTCTGGGAACGCACGAAAAGCAGGCCAGCGGTTCATAAGGAAAGCTCAGAGCGGAGCCTCCAGTTCCGGGAGCAGGCCACCTGTGGTTCCCACCCGCTGTGTTCGACAATGGAATGGAGTCTGGTTCTCTTTTCCTGTTGCGGTGGGCTTTGGCTAGTTATTGCTGTGGGAAGGGGGCTTAAGCCCTAAACCCTCCCTCCTGACACACTCTTAGGGTGATTGGGTTTAAGGCAGAAGGAGTGCTGAATTGGTTCACCCTAGCCAAGGGGAGGGGGTTGTTTTTGGTGTATAGGGGGGACAAAGGAAGGAGCCTGACCGATGCCTCTTCCCCCCCATCCCATAGGTTGGCCCTCTACGTGTACGAGTACCTGCTCCACATGGGTGCGCAGAAATCGGCTCAGAGCTTCCTCTCGGAGGTAAGGCAGGGGGAAGGAAGGTTGCCGGAGTATCAATCCGCATTTCCGGTTTTTAAGAAGAAAACGTTATGTCTGAAACCTGTCGGCAAATGCACTGCTTGGTCCCATTGCATCGGATTGCACTGGCCGTGACCCTGCTGAGATCTTACTCCAGAGTAAATCAAATGGCGTGATCTGTTGCAGGTCATTAATAAGGCTTTTTTTTCTTGCCAGGCACTCCGCGGGGCACAGTCTTGCTCATCTTCTCCTAATTCACCCTCCCGCGCTTGCCTCGCCACATTTACTTTGGAGTAAAACCCCAGTGGGATTCTCATTGCTGTTGTGCCTGTGGTTGTGTGGTCCATTAAGGGAATCCCACTTTGTCAGGAAACTCAAAAGGACGTGCCACCCCCGGCATGCTGGGTCTTGGTTGATGGCTCTGGAAGGCGTCCCACGATACGATTGAGAGAAGACACTGCTCTTTCTTAAAAACCGTAAAACTCCGGACTCAGAGGGCAGTGGCTTCCCCGTGGCCCGCCCCACGGACCAGGTGCACCAGGCGTGTAAAATGCAGCCACGGCTTCAAAGTATCAAAGGGTAGGACCAGAAGGGGCCCACCAAGGCCATCTAGTCCAGCCCCACAGCAAAACCACCCCTGACCAGTGGCCTTGGTTTAGGAGCCCGCCGCCTTCCGAAGCCAATCTGTGGCACTCTTCACGGTGCAGTTTGTGACATCCAAAAAATCTGCCCCCAAGCATTTCGTTGGGGATGTTCATGGGGAAGATTTCCAGTGGTCCTCTGGACTGTCGTCGTCTTTTGGGAATCCAGAACGGTTTGGGAAATGGGTCAGGCGCCTCTAAAAGGGAGTGTGGCAAGGATTTGGGGTCTGCTCCAGCCGCTTTCAGCCGACGTGGGTCCCCTCTGTGGCACCTGCCCCCAGTTTACAGCTGTGGTTCTTTGTGCAAATATGGATATCCCCGCCCAAAGCGTGGCCTCCGTGGGATTTCCCCACGGCCCCCCTTTCGTCTTCCGGTTCCCCTGCCCCTTCCATTCTTACCGGGGCTCCTTTGCCTCCTTCCAGATCCATTGGGAGAAGAATATCACGCTGGGCGAGCCCCCAGGTTTCCTTCACTCCTGGTGGTGGTGAGTGACCATCCACGTTTTTGGGGTGGCGCCTTGGATTGAACTATGGCCTGAGGAGAGAGCGCCATTCCATGGCCGGCAAATACACAAGCCGGACTGTTTCTGGCTCCGTGCTGGGAAAATTTCGCGCTCTCCAGCCCCGTTTCCTCCTGAAGGATTCCTTGAGGGAGTCCGTCCACCTCATCTTTAGCCTCCCACTTTTCCCACCATGACGGTCTTTCCCGGTGAAATCCGTAATCCAACGTATATGGGTTTTCCGAACTCTGCTCTCCCCTCCGGGGGCTGAGAACTTTTCAGCAATCCCCCCCCAAAAAAAAGCCCAGACATCTGTGGCACCCTGAAAGCGAGCACATTTTATTTGGGCATTAGGTTTGTGTGATCATTTAAATAGTCAGGCCTGCAGGCTTCCATAATGCAACCAATGGGATGAGATTCAATATGTAGATTGTGCTGATGAGGGCAGGTTTTGGGGTCTGCTCTTGATTATTTTGGGGTCCAAAATTAGCCAAAATAAATAAATAAAAGCAGGTGGAGTGTCCACCACAGCCCTTGACCTCGGCTGGATGTTGGTTGACCTGGAAGTTTATTGACCTAGAAAGATGCTAGAGGGACATTGATTTTGAGCCGGGTCAAATGTGCTCCCGGACCTCCCTCTGAAAACCTGTGCCAACATCTCAGTAACCTGAACATCTTCTCCAAGTTAATTTCATGAGCACAGGCCAGGTGGCCCCCAAATTGCACACGAGGCCCCTGTGGAAAGAAGTGTCATATGAGTTTTGTGTGTCTTTCTTGCCAATGGGATTTTGAGTGCTGTTTCGGGGTGTGTGTGTAAACTTCCCTGGATTCTGTACACCTCAAAAATTCCCCCACTAAATTTATTGGCTTCAGGCACACTCTTTCTCTTTCTCCCCCCCTCTTACGAACCAAGCACACACTCCCCCCTGCACCCCCCCCCAAAATCCCACCGTTCTTTGCCCTCTATGTCTTGCTCCGTGATCTGCACATGGTTGTGATTTGGGAGAGTATTATGGGATGCAGGGATCTCGGGGGGTGGGGGGGAGGAGAGGAACGGTGGCTGAGATTTTAAACAGGATCCTCCGCCCTCCAGGACGGAAAAGGCCCCCCGAATTATATCCCCTGCCCAGTTTTAAAGATATATTTTTGAGCTGTAACGTTTTTCCAATTTTAAAAAAATGGTTATGTTTGGGCCACCTCTGGAATAATGGAATATGCCAATGGCCTGGGTGGAAGACACCCCCCCGTCACACACTGATGTGCATCCTTTCCAGGGGTCTATGTGGGGTCTCACTTAACGCCTGTCCCATCTCTTCCTTCTCTCTCTCCTCCCCCGCCCCCTCGAAGTGTGTTTTGGGACCTCTACTGCGCAGCGCCCGACCGGAGGGAGACGTGCGAACACTCGAGTGAGACGAAGGTGTTCCACGATTACGTGAGTATGGTGGATCGCTTGTGGCTGGCCGATGTTGGCCAGGTGGCGTTTCGGACCCTGGTCTCTGGGAAACAAGTTGCAAGTTATACAGCGGCCTCTCCTAAGTTACTTTCTTGGGGTAAGGAAGGCACCACGATGTTTCCAAAGTAACTCGACAGAGCGGAAGCTAAGATCTTTCGCCGGAGCAATGAGTAATGTGTTCCCGTTTCATGCAAAAGTTACTTTAAGCAGTTGCTTTCCACGGCAAAAGGGGGTGTAGCCGTTCACGTGGTCGTGACACGCTTGCAGAACTCTTTGCTACCCAGTGTGGCTACCAATCCTGCTAACAAGCTGCACAGAACCTCGATGTTTGGAACAGAAACCGGAGAGGGTGTTTTTTTTAGATCACAACTCCCAGAATCCACAGCCAGAAGGTGGGGAGATTCTGGCAGCTGCTGTTCAAAAGGGTTTTTAAAAACGTGTAACGAAAGGTTACAAAAGGCTACACAATTGTGTGCAAAATAACATTTGTTTTGGTTTCTTTTTCTTTTCAAAGGTGAAAGTAACAAAGTTTTATTTCAGGTGAAAGTAACATAAATGAAACTAAAAGGTGAAAGTAACAAAATTTTATTTGATTTCCCCCCCCAGGTGAAAGTAACATAAATGAAACTAAAACCAAAATAAACATGCCCTTAGATCAACAAGTTTATTTTAATGTGAGCTCTTGTGGATTGCAAATGAAATCTACATGACATTTGTCACTCTCAAAGATGCTACAATGTTTGAGTTTTCCCCTTTGGTTTGTTTGTTTGTTTGTTTGTTTGTTTGTTTGTTTGTTTATTGATTGATTGATTGATTGATTGATTGATTGATTGATTGATTGATTGATTGCTGTTTCTGAAAGAGATGTAACTTAGCTCCCCCTCTGAAAACCTATCCCATGTCATAATGAGTAATGGTAATGAAGTACTTCCCGAACACCATCATGAGGAAAGATGCTTCCTTTTTTCTTTTTTCTTTTTCTTTTTGCTGTTTCTGAAAGGTACCTAACTTCGTTCCCCCTCTGAAAACTTATCCCATGTCATAATGAGTAATGGAAATGAAGTACTTCCCGAACACCATCATGAGAAATTGGAACAAATTATTTTTAAACTGTAACGTTTCTGGCACCAGTCTGCCTCTGAATCCTGAAAATGTAGGAGTCCTTAAAGCCCTCACAGGTCTATTGGCTGCTTTTCCTGCAACAACCCCACAAGAAGAAAAACAGGCCTTATTAAAACCACACTCTTAAGAAATGTGAGGCGACAAAATGGAATTAAACTCTACTGCATTTATAAACACATCCCCCCCGCCTCCCCGGCCAATAGGCTTAAACAGCCTATCACAGTAACCCGGTGGATGTACAATTTTGCAGAATTAATCACTTTTATTTATTTGATTTTTGGGTCCCCCCCCCCTTTTCTTTTTTTGAGGCTCTGATTCAGATCTTCCGCGTAAGAGAGAGAAAGCGAAGAGGTTGCATAACAAGGTTTTTGTGCCGCATCGGATTCGGCGGCTTCCCTCGGCTGCGCATCCCGCCTCCCTCCTTGGCGGTTGCCATGGGAACCACATCCTCTCTGGACCACCTTGCCTTCGACCCACAAACGCAGCCACCCACCCACCCCCACACACGGAGACACACATGGAGACTGGCAGCCACCAGCCCTTGCTCAGTCTCTGTGTTGGTGTGTGGGTATTTGAGGCAGCCTGGCAGTTGCTGGATGGGAGTTCGAAGCCCCCACGGGGCCTCCTTGACAGAAGGCCAGACTGGAGCTCTGTGTTTGTGCGTGGGTATTTGAGGCAGCCTGGCAGTGCCTGGCAGTTGCTGGATGGGAGTTCGAAGCCCCCACGGGGCCTCCTTGACAGAAGGCCAGACTGGATGATCTCGAGGGTCCCTTCCAGTTCTGATGTTTTAAGAGGATGGTCTTGGGGATCATAAGGGAACTTGGCCCAAGGGTCAAGGTCTGCCGATGTTTTAAGAGGATGGTCTTGGCGATCATAATGGAACTTGGCCCAAGGGTCAAGGTCTGCCAAGGAGACAAAATGAGGCACTCCAGAGGTTGTTAGATTCTCCGATCAGTCCCCCCCCCCATGACTCTCCTGCCTGGGGCTGATGGGAGTTGTCATCCAGCCCAATCTGGACAATCACCGCTCCCTGGAGAAGCCCTATTGTTTTCTTGGGAAGGAAGACGTTGAGCCTGATCCACCTCCTAGGGTTGGCGTGAAAACCAAGGGGAAAGCCACACAGACCGCCTTGAGGGAGAAAGGCTGGGTGAACCTACAAACCCGACGCGTTCTTCTGTCTCCACAGAGCTCTGCGGCCACGAGCAGTCCTGTGATGGCCAGCTTGGCCCCCGGGGATGGCCTGCCCCCGGGGCCTCTTCCATCTGGGGTCTTCCAGGTACCTTTTCAGCCAGCGACAGACCCAACTCCAGGACCCCGGGACTGGAGGACCCTTTCTGTTCACGGCTGGGCCTCACAAGTAAAACCTTCACCTTCAGAGGCAGTCTACCTCGGGAGGCCAAAAGGGCAGAGACCCAGCCGCAGGGGCAGGACGTCCGCATCAAGGAATCCTGCTGTCCGTGGATGGAAGCAGGGTGCCAGGTCTCAATGGCGGATGGATCAGGCCGTGGGGTATTCAAAAGATGGGGTCCAGTCTGATTCATGATCCAGGGCTGCCCCCTCCTCCTCCTTCTCCTCAGCTGGTTTCTGCTTCTCCAATCAGGGACCGCCGAGCTCCCAGCCCTCCCAACATGCTCAGGCCCCTCTGGCCAACCCTGGCGCCATGATGATGGGCCCTCATAATCAGGTAAGGGCTCCCTTAAAGTTTTGAATTTCCGGTTTAAATTCTCCTTTTGATACACAGCAGAAGTACCACAGAGAAGAATAGCTTTTTAAGTTCCCAGAGAGTCCACTCTTTTTCTCATGAGCTGGCACTGAACCATCTCATCGACTCCATTTGAGACATTTGTAGGAGAAAGAGTAAAAAACATTTCATTGCTGAAAGTTGGGAACAGCTCAACTGTAAACAAACCACTACTGCTCCCAATAGACGAAACGGAGGGAAAGAGACACAGAGCAGAGAGGCGGATCAACTGCAAACAAACCACTACTGCTCCCAATAGAGCAGAGAGGCGGGGCCGTCTTTGAATCCAGAGGCAGGGACAGAATGATTGGTCAGTGCTGGATAGATTGACAGTTACTCCAGCTCAGAAAGGCCCCTCCCAGCCCAAACAAAGGATAAGCAGCACGCACGGTTGTAAATACTCCGATCAAACATTTCACTGTATTTGACACTTGCGTAGTCACAACATTAGAGAAGATGGGGCATTCTGGGACATGGTGTTCAAAAATGTAGCTTCTTCAAAGGTCAGGCAATACACACACACACACTCATTCACACACACACAGATGGTGTTCATGTTTTGCTTAACGTTGATTTTCTGTTTCTCCGGCAGCCGTTCATGGGTTCGCGCTTCCCCGGCGGACTCCGGCCTTCGCTCCGCATGCCCAGTCAGGTGAGCTTTCCCGCCTGCCCAGCTTGGCACGACCCTTTTTGAAAAAGCAGGCTTCAGGGAATGAACGTTGAGTCCCTGGCCTCTGCATCACTCCGCCGGTCTGTCCCGTCTGTCCCTGTTTTTTCACTTAAGACGGTGGAGAATACAGAGGCCACCCTAAAGAGCTGGACAGGATGGTTCTGATCCCTTTTGGGAAAAGGACCCCTTTTAGGTTCTTGTTTCGGGCCCTCTCGTTGGGAGCCAGGAATTGGGGGCCGGAGGGCGGGGGGAAAGGTCTGAACAGCGCAGCACAATTCTTCCACCATTTAATGCATGATTATTCTGTTTTCCTACCATGGATGGAGGGAAAGAGCTCCAAACGGCCTCTTTGTTGCTTTCTCCTCACCTCGGCCCTGTGAGGTAGGCCAGGTGGAGCTGGACGGAGAAGGGGACCCATGGCTGTCCTGGCGAGAAACCTGGATCGCTGACATCCCTGTTTAGGGCTCCCCAGCTTAAAAGCAACCTGTCAGACGGGGGGCTAGGAATGAATGGATCGCCTTCAAGGGCCACCCCAGGGGAAGCCCAGCGCAGTAGTCCGTGTCATGGCTGCCGCAGCCTTTTCTGTCCTGCAGCCACCGGTCGGAGTGCCCGGGTCCCAGCCTTTCCTGCCGGTTGTGATGGACTCGGCTGCCCGAGGTGAGCAATGGCGGTGTGGGTGGGTCCCGGGTGCAATTCTTTCCTTGCACGGACCCCAAAGGGTGCAGATCCATGGGGCTAGACTGCTGGGGGAACGGTCAACCCCTGATGGGCGGGGCTGCTGTGACGTCCCAGAGGGGACCAGCGACAGCCCTGCCCAGACCTTGGTGTGCTTTTGGAGGGCCTAAATCTAGAGGGAAGACAAAAGGCCCTCTTTCCCTCTTAAACACAGTCGTGTCTTTCTGCAGCCCATGCCAGCGTGGGACCTGGGCCGTGCATGACCCCCCCACGGGGTATGACAGGGGTGGTGCCACAGGTAAGTACAACACACTTGCTGTTGCTGACTTTTGAATTTCTGTTAGAATTCCTTTTGCTGGCCAGTAGAAGTCGAGAGACTCACAGAGGCGAATAGCTTCAAGCGCCCTGGGTTGTCCACCCCTTTCTCATTAACTGGCACTTAACTGTCTGGATAACTCCCTCAGAGACATTGCATTTCCAGTTGCTTGAACGTCCGTGCTAAGTCTGCATTTAACAAATCCTAAGTCATTTTTAGAACTTTTTAACCAAGAGGGGAGGGTCTCCCGGCGGCACAGACGTTTCATAGAACGAGGGGCCTCCAAACCATCCTAAAAACAAATCCTCTCATCGAGTACCTCAATTTGGGAGAGAAAGGCAGCCTATTAAGACAACAAACAAACAGATAAAATAAAACTTTTCTTGAATCTGAAAGAGGTGTTTTTAAAAAAAAAAATGAAAGGAGAAAAGGGCTTTCGGCTCCCTTTCTGTTCCCTTTGGAGGGCAGCCCCTTGGAGGTGTCGGGGTGGGATAAATGGCCTCGTGGAGCCCTGCCGTTTCTCCACCCCTTCTGAGGACCCAGAGGACCAGACCATCATCACGTCGGTCTCCATTTTCATTCTTATTTTCTTTTTCCCCTCCAGAGTTACGGAGGTGGGATGAGGGTCCCTCCGGGGTCCCTGGCTGGCATGCCCACCCTGAGCATGTAAGGAAGGGACCCTAACCTTGTTTTGCGTGGGGGGGCAGGGAGGTGGGACATCCCCCAAGCGGAGAGGGCTCTTGGGGATCAGTGGCCCTCGTTTGGCCAGCCTAGAGACCCCCCCTTTCTCCCTGTCTGAAAAGCTGACAGACACGGTTTACGATTCGGCAGTTGTGTGTTTGTCTCTTGGCAGGGGTCCTGGCATTCGGGGGCCGTGGCTGAATATGAACCCAAACGCGGTACGTGGGTTTTATATATGTTTTTAATCCATCACTCATGCGGTTGATAAAGGCACAGGGAGGGTGTTGACTTGGAGCTTCATTAGCTGGCTGATTCGTTTCTCTCTCTCTCTCTGTTTCTGATTCTAGGGGCCGTTTTCCTCTCCTTCTCCTGGCAGTTATGGGGTGAGTTTTGGCACAATGGCCCACGGATTTGGGGTGGTGGTGGTGGCCATTTCTCGCAAGCAGAGCCATTGCAGGTCTTTAATTTCCAAACCGCTTTGTCGTCTGTCTCTCTCTCTCTCTCTCCCCCTTCCCACAGGGCCCCACCGGAGGCAGCGGGCCCCCTGGCACCCCACTGATGCCCAGCCCCGGAGGTGAGTGCTTCTTGTGGGTGCCCAGGAGTGCTTTGAAATCGCTACCTGTCACTCTCTGCGAAAATAACAGAAGGCGTTTCAAAAGGCTCGAATGAGGATGGCCGCGGCTTCGTTCCGTGGACGATCCAGGACGGAAAAAGTACCCAATGGGTTGTGTGCCTCTTTCCTTTCGTGCCTCCTTTTCGGGTCTGCTAAGGGAAAGTTTTGCAAAGGTGGGGAAAGTGTCCTAATCACCAAGGGCTTGACCAAAAAAAAAAAACACACCACTTCTTGTCTTCTGAGGTTGCCCTGATGATAAATAAGCTCATTCATTGCTTGTTGCAGAAAACGGGAGGGTGCTGGTCCCTATCAGCATGCCAAAAATGGTAAAATAACTTTAAAAGTAACTAGGAAACGACCCGCCGCAGACATAAGTGTGTTGGTGTTTTTAATTTTTTTGCTATTTTTGTTGATTTTTTTTCTCTTACAATATGATCATAAGGAGCCACAGGCCACTTTTTGATAAAGTTAAATTCCTTTTTTGTCCACAGACTCCACCAATTCTAGCGAAAACATGTATGTGATGAACTCCACCGGGCCCCCGGGGAGCCGGCCCAGTGTAAGTGACCTTTAAGCCCTGCCTACTCTCTGGTTGTGTCGTGGCGCCTTGACTTCTGCTCAAGAGACGTTTTCCAGGGCCGCAAGGCATAGATGACGGGGAGGCCCAAAGGAGGAGGGGGGGTGAGAGCCCTCCTGTCCAGCGTCTTTTGCAGGATCAGATCCCACATATCGGGGCATCCCTTCCCTTTTGATTACAGTAGAAACCCTGCCTCTTTGGGGGGATCAGTTCCAAAGCCTCCAGTGGATGCCAAAAAAGGTGGATGATAGTGAACACTATACATAGCATGTTCCCTGGTTCCATCTAGTGGCCAGTTTGGTAACTTTATTGATGTAAATATAAAGTGCTAGGATTTTTCCTTCCAAATTTTTCATTAATCCAGATGGTGGATAAGGGAATCAGCGGATACTGATCCTGTAGCTACGGGAGCCCTAATGTGTTGGGAAATGTTCATGTCCCCAATATACATTTTAATACCCAGAGTGTTAAATTCACCGTTTATGGGACTTACTGCATGCTGATTGCTTCCACAAAATTATTACTGGGTCTGTGACGACACACTGGGGGGGATTTAAATATATATATTTTTACTGGCCACAGAATGCAAAAAGGCTGAATCCAGCCTTTTTTCCCTTTCCTTTTTCAAGTCAGGACAATCCGAACGGGGTTCCTCCCCCCGCCCCCCAGTGGGGTTTAGTCCTGACACCTTCCCGTAGATGAGTAGCAAGGACAGCCGGAGGCCACTAGGTGGCACTCATTTTGCCTCATTCTTTCTCTCTGCACCTGGCTTTCAGTTTTCCATGGGAGCCAGCCCTGAAGGCCCCGTAGCCATGGAGCCCCACCACCTGAATGGGTCCTTGGGTGAGTCGGGGATTGTCCATGGAGGGGAGGGGGGAGTTTGGAGGATGCTTCTGGGGAGGAGCAGAAGGTGGTGTCATGTTTTGAGCACTTCACTGGGACTCCGGATCTGGGTTCGAATGTGCACTCGGATACAAAACGCACAGCGAGTGATGTTGGGCCAGTCGTCCGCTTAACCTCCATCAGAGGTTGTGAAAAAAAGGAGGCGAGAGAAAAATAAATTCTTATTTATTCATGTAAATTAGGACACACACATCCCCAATATTTGTGTGGAGCCTGAAAAATGCAGATTATAGCAAACACTCTTTTTATAACGAACACCATATATAGTATGATCTCTGGCTCCCATATGTTAGAAAGCTATATGTCTAGGATTTTTCTTGGAATATTTTTAATATATTGAGACTGTGGATAAGTGACTCAGTGGATACTGATCCTGCAGATACTGGAGTCCTACTGTTAAATGAAGCTCATTATAAAACCAAAAGCAAGGCAGCTGGCGTGGCCTGGCATGGGGCTTAGGAGGGGGCCAAAGTGGGGTCCCACAGCAGCCAGCCCCCCCAGACCCTTCTAACAGCCGCCCTCCCCCTTCTCCTCCTTACAGGTCCGGCGGAAATGGACAGTCTGCCCAAGGTGAGGGGGTAGGGGCCAGGGAGCAGGGGGTGGGTGATCTCAGACACCTGGGGGGGCCCTGAATGTTAAGGGAGGGGGACACTGCCTGCATTATTTCAAAGAGAGGGGCTTTTTTATATGATGGCTCCCCAAATTCCACCGGGGTTCACCCCTTGGAAAGAACCCCATTTTCGAACTGTTCTGCACCCAGGGATTTCGAAGACGATGCCGGCTGCGAGGGTTCCTCAAAAGCCCACATTCTGCTGAAGGGGGGGTTCTCCACCCTTAGGACGACGTTTTGGGGCGTCTTGGCCAGGGCCGAATGATGATGCACGTTTTTCTTGTCTCTCTCCCCCCCCC